AAAAATATTAAAAAATGGTAAACTAATCAATGTTATGTTTTATGTTAAATGCTTAAGACTTCAAGGCATAATAAAATATTGCTATCATCAATTATATTGCCATGTTCTGGAATTATTATTATTTATTATATTATTATTATTATTATTATTATTTGCAACAGGAAAACTGTTTCTATAAAGATTACAGGACCAAAGAAGGAAGAAAGCTGCAGTTTGTTCTGTGAGTTTCTTGACTTTCAGAGTCTAATGGCAAAGCTCCCACACTACGATACAGACAGGATGTCAGATGTTGGCAGCAGGAAGGTTCCAGGCATCATCAGGTCACCAAGGCAAAGCATCCCAGAGACCATATCAGAGAAAGACAAGAAACAAAAGCCCACACTTATGCTATCTTTGCTACAGTGATTGCAACTACACTGCAAGGCAAATTGTTCCGTAAGACTGTGCATTAATAAAATGGAGCAGGAGCCTTCAATTCAGCTCTCCACAGTCACTCTACAGACAGCACCTAAAGAAGTTATCTTAGATACTGCATCCAGGTTCAGTTGAGCTCTGCTGGTGTGGATTCATATGGAGATGCTTCTGCATCTGTAATGCAAAGGAAATAGCATAAAGTTACATTTTTAATAAATTTAGATTTTGACTTGTTAATTTAAAAAATATTTTATTTATTATTTTTATGTTTATGAGTGCTATGCCTGCATGTAGGTAAGTGCACCCGTGTCATGCAATGCCCGCAGAGGACAGAAGAGGCTGTCAGATCCCCTGGAACTGGAGTTATGGACAGCTCTTAGCTGCCATGTGGGTGCTGGGATTCAAACCTGGGTCTTCTGCAAGAACAGTCAGTATTCTTAACTGCTGAGCCATCTCTCCAGCCCCTTGACTTGTTAATTTAAAATGAAGTAAAGTACATATTTCTGTTCCTATTCATAGGATTGGCCTAAAAGTCTATAAAACTTGAGTATACAATCTGATCTCACAGCACATATCAAAGGTGGGAAGTGTGAGACCCCAGCTTTGGCACTCGTAAGCACCGAGCACAGTTGTCATAGACCTTCACACTGGAGTCCCACCTGCCCGTGCTTAGAATGTTCTGCTACAAACATGTGAGCACAGCCTCTAAGAGGTGGCAGAGCCTCCAAGAGGTAGTCAGCATCCTCCTATCTGGAGAGTGATCTCTGTGGCTTCTGTCCTCTATTCCCAAACCTCAAAACCCCTCATTAATGCTAACCCTTATTAAAGTATAAAACTAGACCTGTGAACCAAAAGTCAGCTTTCTTTTATGTCAACACATCTAACACATCTGCAAATGGGTTTTAAATAATAATAATCTTATGTCTGGTGAATAATAAGAAGCATAAGAAATTTTGAGGGTGCTGAAGAGATTTCTCAGCTGTTAAGTGCAGGGACATGGCGTCCTGACCTCCGCCTCCCCCATGTAAGAGCTTGGGTATCTGTGGTATTTCCTGGAATTGTTTATCACAAGGACTTTCTCCTGATTCTGAGAAAAAGGTACAACTGACCCCAAAACTAGCCTTACAGTCAGGTGATCCTAATTATCATGTGTCCTGACTCCACCTCCTATACTGAAAAGTATTTAAACCCTTGTCTAAAACAATAAAGTCGCAGTCGAAGTCCTTCCTCCCACTCCATGATGGTGTGATAGTTTGTTCAATCCTGACGCCCTCTGCCCAGAATACTCGGAGCTTGACGTGCTGGCGCGGCAGTTAAGAGCAGTGGCTGTTCTTGCAGAGGATCTAGGTTTGGTTCCCAGCACCCACATGGTGGCTAACAATTGTCCCTAACTCCAGGTCTAGGGGATCTGATGCTCTCTTCTGGCCTCTGCAGGTACTTCATGCAAGTAGCAAAACACTCATATGCATAAAATAATAAAACATTTGTAGTAGGTAACAGGCCTTAATAAGGGAGATATGGATAAAAATTGGGTTAGTTTAAGGGAGGGGGGGAGGGAAGGGTATATGAGG